AACATGAAGAAAATTAAAAAATGTATGAACTGGACTTAAAATGTAATATAATAAATGAAATGTAATATTCTTACTTAATAGTTCTAGCTATAGAAAGTTCAAAGGCATAATGTATTGCAATTATAAAATGAAACGTTTTGTTCAAAGTGAAAACTTCCATGGGGATGCAAAAGTCTCTCTTGGACACTCTTTTTACCATTTCACTATTTTTAACCTAGGGAAACTCTAGGGAAAGTAATATTCAATGCTCAAACCTATTTAGTTCACCAAATCAGGTTGTCAAGAAAATCTGATTTCATCTCAGTCTGATGAGGATGGTGTCTTTAAAGACTAAATAGTCCCTAATGGTTTACTCTATTTAAAGTACAGAAAGTTCTTATAGCGTGTCCCAGGATATTTTTAACAACAGATTTTTACCACAAGTGCTTAAAAAAGAAAGTGTATATGTTTAAACCAAAGTCCATTCAATTCAATGGGAATTACTTCTATCGATGTTATGAAGAAACAATATCAATGTCATGTAATCTGGGATCATAAATACTATTATGCACTAATGATAATTGAATGGTGATTTTATGGTTATTCTACAGGGCAGATTAGAAGTTGTTTGGGTGTATTAACTGTACATTTCCATTAGACTACCATGTTTAGATGTTTTGGTTTTGAGATAATTACAATATCCCTCTAACGTTTTTTAATCTTAAATTACTGATATGTATCTTTAATCTTAACTCCATTTTGATGTAGATTTTTTGTCTTGGAACTTCCTTGGTTTTCAAAAGTTATTTAAAGTTTTGTACATGAACACAAAACAAAATATTTTATGTAATCATAATAATTTGATACAATAATCATTAATAACTTAGTTTCATCACAACCTATTTTTTTCAATTATAACTTATGCACAAGATTTCATTGCATATTAAATAATATGGAAAATTTTCAGAATGTGTTATTCTGTTATTAAGATCATTCAGGACACAGAAGAGACTGAAGAATGCTAAAACTTTTAAATGATCCATTTAAATTTCATTTTAATTAATTTTAAACTAATTAACAGATTCACTTGTAAATCCATACACTACTGATTCTGTACTCAGAGAATAAGTGCTGTAGGTTTTGGAGGCTATGCTGTGTTTTTCATACATGACAAAGAAATTGAATCCCGGCTTTTAGTGAAAAATGCAAATCAACCTTCTCTATGGAGCCATGACCAGTGACTTCATAATATGAGGGAAACACACATGGGTATCATATAGAGGTCACTCGACAAGAGAGAGACATGCCAAATAGTATATATGAATGGACCAGGCAACAATATTTTAGTCAGGTTTCAGAGTAGCAGCCGTGTTAGTCTGTATCCGCAAAAAGAAGAAGGTGCCACAAGTACTCCTGTTCTTCTTTTTGCCAATATTTTAGTCGTAACCTTTTTTTATTTTTTGCAGACAAATGCAGATTTGGGTCAACCAAAACATTTCACAAATTTCTGCTGAATTCATCTAACCGTTTCAGTTGAAAAACAAAAACATTAAAAATAAAAATGTTTAATTAAGATATCAAAATGAAACATTTAGTTTTGTTTAGAATTTTACTTCGATATTATTTTTTAAAAAGTTAAAAAACAAAACAAAATAAAATGTTTCATTTCAGATCAAACAAAATATTTCCTTTGATTCACAAATTTTTTTTTCTTCAAAATTTGTTTGCTGAAAAAAAATTTCAAGTTGAGCTGAAATGAACATTTAAAAAAAAATCATTTTGGCCAGTGAACCAAAAATCAGTAAATAATTCAGTAAATCAATGTCAGTTAGTTATTCACACAGCTTGACTCGCTACATCATCTGCAAACTAAAAGGTACTTAGGAGCAATGACTCAGACCATTTTAGTTATATGACATTGAATGTTGATGCCCATTAGGCTCAACTTGCAGAACAGTTCTCAGAAGATTTCTTATGGAGCATAGTCTCCCAGTGCTACAGAAGACCTTGTATCCTTTTATTGAGATGTGGTCCCCTCAGTGTTGTGCTTCATTTTTTTTCTACTGTCATTCCAATTATTCTCCAGCTGTTTTGCCTCCTAAATTTCCTACACACTGTGAATAATTCAGGTAATTAAACTGCTAGAGTCACTGGCAGGTCTATGCTGGTGTCAAAGAAAGAAAAAGTTACAGAGCAAAGGAGGCACAAGCTGAGGCGTGTAAATTGGGGCTAGCAGAACCCCCCAAAAGTGGGCAATTGCTGATCAGGAACGGGATATGGCCATGTCTGCTGGAGGATGTGCTAATTCAACTCATCCCCTTGGCTGCTGGCTCTTCTATGTGGCACTGGCTGTGAACTACAGCGGCTTGTCCACCCCTAAGATGAATTTCCCCTACCCCAGAGTACAGCAGACTGCACTGATCATATGGAGATACAATTTTTACCAGCATTAATAACTCTGGCCCATAGTACTGTGTCAGATCAGAACCACACTTTCCACTGAAAAACCTTCATTTCTTTCTAACTTTACGGCGGGAGTATGATTCTTATTTATTTATTTTTAATATTTGCTTCAAGCCATTGTTGCATTCTTGTAATCTTGTGTCCTTGCAAACTCAGCCTCCAGCTTTAGAAAATAAAAGTCAAATATCTGGATAATAGAGCTGTGTATGTCAAATCTAAGGTAAGAGAGATAGGGCGGGTGAGGTAATATCTTTTACTGGACTAACTTCTGTTAGTGAAAAGAGACAAGCTTTCATGCTTCCATAGAAGAGCTCTGTGTAAGCTTGAAAACTTATCTCTTTCACCAGCAGAAGTTGGTCCAATAAAAGATGTTATCTCAAACACCTTGTCTTTAATATCCTGGGACCAACACAGTTACAACAACACTACAAATCTAACAAACACACTTAGCAGCTATTGTTATATACCTCCAAAGAGTTATTTTTCCATGCACTCTTCCTTTACCGTGTTGAATCCTATAAAGGGTTGAGCACTTTGGTCCTGAGATCCAGCAAAGCATTTATGCACATAATTAAAAGTTAAACATGCTTAAGTACTTTGATGACTGGAGTTACAATTTTCAGCACCATCCAGGATCAAGCCCACAGTGATGAGACTGGCAAAAAACTACCTCTGTATTTTCTCAGCAACTCTGAGGTTGCTAGAATGGTACTGACTGAATTCAAAATAGTGCTAAGATTCAGACTCACTTGGCAACAAACTGTGATTTGCCTGCAAGAGGCTGAAGGAGTAAATTAAAAAAAAAATTACTGCAGCCATTTATTGGATAGACCTGGCACAGAAGTGTATCTGCTGGCACTCTCTGAAGACTCAGGGCCCCTGAATCCACTCTCATGTACACCAATTTTACACTGGTAAAATGCAATTAATTTTGATTGAGATACTCCAGATTTACACTTATGCAAGTTAGAGAAGATCAAGTCCAAAATTACAACAAAATAGCTTTTGATAATGTTTCTTCAGTAGTGTAAAAAGTGTGGTATCAAATTCAACTACATACTATAAACCAAATGTAACATTCTGGGAACTGGTACTATTGTATATAATCTCAGAAATTCTGTTTAGCTTCTAAAGTTTATACCAGCACAGGCAAGCAAAACATTATACTGAGCAGTTTATAAAGAAAAAAACAAATCTCACTAGTCCAATGTGGATGTTGTAGTCAATATATATTGTAGTGACCCTAACTCTACCACAAATACAATTGGATGTGGCTGTTCGCTATTTTGCATTTAATTTAATTGATTTCACAAAAGCATTTAGAATTTTTTATCTAAAACTTTGACAAACTTTGGAAAGGTTTCTATGATACAAACTCAATTTATATTAATTAGCTAGAGATGGTGTGCAGGAACTCTTTTTTCAATACTAATTGATAATCGTCGCAGAATTCTGTTAGTACTATATTTCTATCCAGCTCCTTAGACTGTATAAAGAGAATCATTTGATGGAAGTGATTGGAATATAAAATCCACAGAAATATTTTCTAAATTCAACTTGTGAGATGACATTGTCCTTTGGATAACACTTTCCTGTTAGACATCAACAAGAAGTCAGTGAATACATGCAAGGAGTGGGGGAAGATATGGATTAAAAAAGAAGCACTAGTAAAGCAAAGACCAAAATTATGTACTCCAATGGAATAGATGACTCCATAAATATTATATTAGATAATCAAATGCTAGAACCAGTCAGTCACTTTGAACACCTCAGCACAGCTTTCACAAATCATAATGACAACCCTGCTATACTGCAGAGAATATCTTTAACATGGATAGCATTTAGCAGGGAAAAAAATTGCTCACCAATTCAAAAAGATCCCAATGAGGTTAAGAAGGAAGCTTTACAACACATACATCATTCCCTTGCTGTTACTGGGAATTGGGTCAGTGATACAGAAAACTAGTTTTCACTTTAGTTGAAATTTTCAAGCTCTGATGTACACGCAGGGCCAAACTCTGTGGTCAGGGATACTCATGTAAATCAAGAGAAACTTGATGGTAGACAATGGAGTAATTTATGCCACTGTAGCTGTCAGCATAATCTAGACAGGAGAACTGGTAAATTAATGCAAATTTATCTGTAATTAAGACATTCTCAATATAACTCTTCTGAAGCTTCAAATTAATATGCCTAAAGACCAGAAACTTGCAACATTTTTCATTTCAGGAAATATCAGCCATGTAGTGTACCTCGCATTTGAGGGCAAGCTGTATGACTGATTCCTTTCAAGAAAACACTGGAAGTAATTCATATCTTCCTAGCTCAGGATTTTAAATGAGTATCTGTCACCCAAGCTAGATCAAGAAGATAAACACAAAACCGGTATAGCTTATAGTAAACATAATTCTGATAATTCTTTTACTGGTAGTTCTTACAAGTGGAATCTGTGCAGTGTCACTAAATGAAATGTGGAGAGAAAGGAAACAACCACTAACTGCTTCAAGTTAGTTTAAAAACAAACAAACAAACAAACAAACAAAACCTCCTTCTTTTAGTGAGTGATTCCACAAGTGTCCATTATGGGGTTTCCTGCATCTTCCTCTGCTACTGGCCCCTTTTGGAAAGAGGATACCAGGTAAGACACACCACTGGTCTTATTTCAGAAAGGACATTTCCTATGTTCCCCATGTTGCTGGAGAAGGGATGCTCTCCACTTGTGGAGGAGCTCTGCCACCTCCTGTGCCAGCTTTCCTATTGCCCCTCCAGCTTAAGGGGATGGAACATGTTGGGGAATTTTGAGGGTGGGGTATGGGAGATGGAGCAGAGTTCTGTCACCCCCGATTCTTCACTGGATTAGGTTCCCTGAGAGAGTTACAACCCAGGAGTCACAGTTGGCTCCGTGCTCTGTTCAGATGGAGTAGAGAATCAAGCTTTTCATTTTTAGAATTAAAATGAAGAAAATAAAATCATAGAAGAGATTAACTGCTTGCCTAGTGGATCAGTCTTGTAATTTATGAGTGTGAAATCATACCTTTGAATATAATTGGTTTTTTTTTATTTCTTATGTCTGATGTCATATACACTAAGAGGTGTTTTCTTCCCCCTATGGAGAAAGCCATGTATTATTAACAAGCACAAACCAAAGTAGACACACACTATAATCAGTGTGTAAAAATTGGGTTGAATGGCTGCCAATGGATAATTAAAAACATTTTAGCTGACCAAGCTTGCAATTTAAATTTATTTGAAGGCATTCCCTTTCCATCTTCAAAGCAATTAATGCTTTCTTGGATGTAAACTGAATGAACACTAGAGTGCTTCTTCTCTGAGCTGCTAGAAGTTGTACTATTTTGGTGCTATTATATAATCCCTCTAATCATGATTGTAACAGGTTGGTGGGCTGTAAGACTCTATAGAGTCATCATGATGTCAAGTGACTGAAACCTGTATAAAGAGGCAAGGTACTTACTGTTGCATCATAATGCCAAGTTCATCTTGTAAATTAGAATGAATTAGCTAGATCAGGGATTGGAGTGTCTCTTTTTCAAAAGAGAAGAGGTGGGCCTTAAAGGAAGATACTAAAGCCACCAGGCTTTGAGAAGACTCAGATATATGTGGTGCTGTTGTTTCAGTTACCAGTGACAACAAACCCGTGGTAGGGGTAAATTTGGACTAATATTTCCGTGGGGCAAATTCTATCTCCTCTGCAACTCCCCTGTGCCACGCTGGTGGTGTATAATTGCCATAAAGATTATGCAATCAGCCAAGGGGAGAATTCCTCCATTTCTAGAGCAGAATAGGGCTACAGCATGCAGCTCTACATTGCCCCCTTGCAGCCTGAAGAGTAGAGGCAGAAGTTGGTGTCTATGTAGCACTGAATGCTATGGAGATTCTAGGCTGCATGGGAAACCTAAATCCTGGCATTTCCTATGTTTTAAGTGCTCAACCACAATATTTTTAAATGAAATTTGTGTGTAATTCCTTAGGATTTTTTCTTTAAAAGGCCCACAGAGAAAACAAATTCCATCATATGGAAACATACTGACATACACATGGATCATTTTTAGGACTGGAACCTTTAGATCCACTTCAAGAACCTCTCCTGCTTGAACTAATGGAGCAATTGATAGCAGTAGGAGGTTGTCATACTCTGTAGACCAGTAGTAAAGGGGTATGAGAGAGAAAGTTTGCTAGTGAGTTTCACTAACAAACCTTTACTGAGCATGTGCCAACTGCCATTTTTCAAAGGCTTATGACTTGGCCAAATTTTGGCAGCTTTTTATGAGAATAGCAAAAGGTATATTCCTGACACAAAAACATGCCACATTTCAAGCTCTTGCTCCAAAACACAGAGGTGCTACAGCCTTTAAATGAAATGGTTGTAAGAATTTGTTTTAACATGGGAAGCACAACCCATTTCCCTTAGTCTTATTCTTAGAAACAGATGAACCATTTTTGCTGAAATTTAAAAAAGCTTGAGGCAGACATGCAGCGTAGAAAATTTCAATCTAAACAGTTACATTTGGTAAAAGTTATAAGCAACTGAAAATATGGTCTTACAATGGAAAATGTAACTCTTGGCAATCCTACAAGCTCCACCTATAATAACTGTTAAATAATATTGCCTCTTTTAAAATGATGAAAGATGTATATTTGAATAATATTTTAAGTCAAGGTAGAGTGTTCATTAAATGAGATAATATTTCTCATTCTCCATTTGGACCAATCTGGCAGATTCTTTAATTCATGAGGATGCCAAATAAGGAAGCTTTTTAGAGGTAATTATGGAGGGTCCAGGTAGTAGTAGTGATGGAAATCAAACTTCCAATCAACAGACAGGGTCCAGGGAAACTTTACAGACTTTCACTGGGCTGTTATTCCAGCCCTTGGACCCAGGATTTGTGGCCAATGGATTTCATCCAAGTCAAGCCAGCAAAAACACACTCACCTGCATTCCTGCCTGCCCTTAAACTGCAATCATACTGACTTACATGGAGCCAGTTCCACCACATGTAAAGCGCATACAGTCCCTCAGCATATCTACCTTGTACTTTAGGCACAATGCATCCACAGCTATCCTGCTGCACATGAAAGCCCTGTGATTGTGGCTCGATTATACTCATAGGAACAAACAGTTATTAATTAGGGTAAGGGAAATATCAACAGCATACAATGTAATTATTTAGAGAAGGCAGATGCTGTAATCCAGTCTTCAGAGAAAAAAATGTTGATACTGGTGGAAATCAATGCATATGATAGCTGAAACTGCCAAGGTCAGCTTTTACAGATAAATGTCCTTCCTTGCTGTCAACTGATCCTCTAAAATATGATACCTCTGCTTGTCTCTCTTTTATGATCAAATGATTTTTTTAAAAATAGAAATCAGCTTTTCATGTCAGGAAATCATCTCTTTAACCAGGGCTGCTGACCATCTTCAAGAAATTCACTAAAATGGTGAGCAAGAATTTTATAAAGACAACCAATTTTTTCTGATGCTATTGAAAAAATAATGAGAATGGATGAACATAGTGCAAAAACACATAGAGTTTTTTGCATTTTATCTTTTTTTTTTTTGGCCAAATCTTGCGATTCTTTGATAAGAGTGATTGATCGAGTCTGGGTGAGTTTGTTTTAATATCTGTTGTGGACAGAAACTTGACTGAGACTCAATCAATCACCTTTAACAGGAAATCAGAACTAATGCACTAAAACAATATATGTTATGCACTCAGTTCATCTATCATAATCCTCTTGTGCAACATTGCAGAGGAGATACAGTTTTGTGAATTGTGGAATGACAGGTCAGGGTGGACTCTATAGATCATTGCTGCTTAAAAAAAAAGAGGCACTTACATTTTGTGTATATGCTCTAGAAAGTGTCAGCAAAATTTTAAAATCATTGATACCACTGTCCCTGACCCCAAACTGCAGCTGCCTATCACCAGTTCAAAGATATTAAAACAAAGCAAAGGAAATGACATGATTTTGCTTAGGCGAGCTATCTGAAAGCTTGAAAGTCAAAAAGTCCTTCTCACATTAAATGAACTGCAAAATATGGGCCCAAAGCTGCACCCATTGAAATGAACAGCTAAACTTCCACAGAGTTCAAGGTGTGCCAGACTGGACACTAGATCTGCTTAAGCTGCATCGGGTTACACATTTTACACCTGATCTGTGCTTTGACCTCCTTTAGAATTTTTAATAACTTTAAATTCCTTGTAGCTAAGACTACTAAACCTCAGAGCATTTTCCACACTAAATAAGAAGTAGTCAGGTTGTTTCATCTATTACATCACATGTCATAGTTGCACCTGTGTATACAGGAAGACATGCACACAGCCCCAACATACATGAATGCATTTAGGGATTTGCATGTCTGAAATAGATGTGCCCATTTAAAATATTAGGACCTGAAGGATAAAATAGTTGCTTATTGGCAATAAGCCACTGGAATGGAAAGAAAAAAGAAGAGAGAAAATAAAACCCATAATCTTTACAGAACAATATGAAACATGTCCCCAAAATGTAGCTTGCCTTCCATTTAAATCTAGCATCTACCTATCCCTCATAATTCTGAACTCTAAGGGGGAGAGTGTAAGAGGCGCACAATGTGGCTAAGCGCCTAACTCCCATTGAGACTCTATGAAATTTAGGTGCCTCAGTGTCATGTGTGCTTTTGAAAATCTCCTTCTGAGTGCTTAACTAGACACTTATTATCTGCTTTTGGACAGAAAAAAAATCAAATGAATGGCAACCACTGATATATCGCAGTTCCTTTACCACAAAGCACATTTGTCTTTTAAATTAAAGTTTTCATGTATACTAAATAATGTATTTGGTAGTTATTAAATTGCTCTTTTTCACCCTCCACCCTGAAGAATGCCTATTATAAAAGGGAGTTCTTTAAGTCTGAAATAATTTTCAAATCAAATTACCTGCCTAAGACTCCCAAAGGTAGTGTGTGATGGAGTAACGTATAGAGTATGAAATAGAACTAAAAACTGGGTTTTGAGAAATGTTCAGTTATATGTTCCATTGCCTTGCAGGACACCAGAGGAACTCAACAGAAAGATCTTTATATAAGGACACCATGGAACCTGGATGAGCTTCAGGGATTTACAAGGTTACAGTTGCCTTGACAGGTTCAATACCACAGCAATCCTAAAGGAATAAAGAAGTGAAGAAAACACACTGTGTAGATAAGGTTACACCTAGTGCAGAAATGGACTTACTGTAGATTACTATGCTACTCATCACACCCAAAAGATAGCCTTTTGGTTAGTGGGCATGCAGAACTGAAACATGAATAGTGTTCCAATTACTAGAAATGAATAAACCAATATTTATTCCAAGTGGAGCCCAAAGGTCTGCAAGTTAGAAGGATCACCAAAGAAGAACTAATAGTAAAAAAGGGAGGTACTTTTCCAGGGATAGATTATCCCTTCCTTTTTCCCCCACAGCAGAGGGGATGAAAACCAATGGAAGTGTCCTGATTTTGGTTTGTATACAGAGGGATTGATCATAAGTGGCATCATACTCTATTCCTTCAAGTCTCCAGAATCCCCTGTACGTGATCTGTGTGTGTTTGGAGCTTTGTGACACACAGGGTAGTTGAAGGTGGCAGAGTTACAACATTATCACTCTCTATGCCATCCTGATCCTCCATATCCATGGGAATTTACCATGACCACAACACAATCCCTTAATTTTTCACCTCTTCATACATAATCCCATACTGAAGGGGGCTATACATAGCCAGTGAGGAGGACAGCTGAATCACTGCTGCCATTGGTGCGGTGGGGTCCACGGATAAACATAGTCAATGAGCTTCTGTGAAAAGCCTCAGACCTTTGTGGATGTCATTATGGGTTTCTGCTGTGAATTGTAGGGCATTTGTGAATTAGGGGAGCCATTTCCTTTTACTGTCTTTCCAAAGGTAAATTCTCCCTCCATGCCCTGATAACGTGATTCTAAAGAAACTCATGAAGTTTCCAGGCCCTTTCATTAGAATTTCCCATGTTGGGCATGATTGACCCAGTGTATAATTTACTTCTAATTCTACTTTATTTATGCTAGTCAAATTGTGAGGGGTAGTTTAAGACTGGGATTAATTTTGCACTGTAGTGAAAATAGCTCCTTGATAATGATTTTTGTTTTCCATTTACCTGTCTTATGGACAACATTTTACCAACAGCCTATCAACTTTATTGATCCAAACATTCCAGGAAATAATTTGCTGTTGTGAATAGTCTTGGTTATTGTTTTGCATAAAATTGATTGATTAAGCAATATTAATGCACTTTGAAGCTTATGAACAGTGACAGATTTGGAAGCGAAGAATCTATTGGAGAGCTGAGAAATCTCACACGTCTTCACTCTGGCACTGCATTAGTCTAGCTCAAAAATGTGTTTCACAGTTATCTATAAAATATTATTACAAATTCAATTATTCATGTAAACATTGACAGCACTGGAAATTCAATTTCTATATTAATGCACTTAATAGACACAGCACAGGGAATGAGATATTCAGTTTCCTCACATTGCACCACCAATGTTCTATTTAGTTTATAACATTTGCCTTGTTATAAAATTCTAGGTGCCATACGTTATAGACTCCTTTAGAGTTACCAGAGTAGTTGGAAGGAAAACTTTATGTCCACTTATTTCTTCTTCTGTGCTGAACACTGCCAGTAAGTGCCTATTGGGATGTTATTTCATGATGTGGACACCTCTCGCCACCGTGAATTAGAGTGAAGCCATCAATTAATTTCCTATAGTGCCTGCGAAAGCTATCAGAAGATAATATTACTATCTTAGGGTCAAAACTGCACTGATTTACCCCCACACACTCCACACAAGTCTTTGGTGTGTTTAAATCAGGACAGAATTTGTCCCTCAAAGTAGAGTTAGAATCTGTTGCCTAGGTCTGAGAACCGACAATACGATAGTGAGAAGAAATTTTAATATCCAGGTCACAGGTTCTAACTGATTCCAGGGGCTAAATCCAGTCCTTAACATTAATATCATTGCACAGTATTTTTAATTGTATCTGGCTGTAAACACTGCAATTCATCCTGTATTTGCTGTATGCAGTAATATCTTTCTATACTGAAACTCTGTGTTATTTAGATGATGCAATTGAATATCCCAACAGCTTAATATTAAAGTAATGATTTCAGAGTGCTATTCTGTATTGTTTGTTACTAAATTACCCTTTCAACTTTAGCCTGGGTGAAAACCTGGCTCAGTTGAGATGTTCGATGGTCTCAGCCTAATGCCAAGTGGATATTTTTTCTCATCATAAATTGGCCAGACTGGCAGCAACAGAAGAAACACACTCCAATGGATGGTGAGCACTCTATTGTATAGACAGAGTTGCTTGGGAAGGTTACATGGCACCTAAATACAGCATGTCTCACTGAACAATCAAGCAGTCACTCCGTTTCTTTCACATTTAAGTTAAACAAATTCACACAAAACTGCTTGGAAAAAATATATACCTGGCTTACACAATAAAATGCTATTGCATATTATGATATGATGCATCACATAATTGGTAAACTTTCACTGCAGAGCATTATAAGACCGAAAAGATAAAATATACTCTTCCTTCAAATGTCAACCTATAAATACAGCATGACATTAAAATACTGGTGCTCCTGTAATCAAAGCAAATGTAGGCCAAAAAGGAAATAAAACATTTACGGCACACAGAATGTTGGTGAGTAAGATTTTGAAGTCAATACCAGTAGTAAATTACATGAATCTCAAAATGAAAACCAGTATTTTTCTGCCTTCGGGGGAATTGAAGTATCATCCTTTTGTTACTGCTTATGAAATTAGAAGCACCTTAACTGAATTTGACTATTTTTCTAAATTAAAAACCTGGTTCAAAATGTGGTTTTACTCATGTCAGTATAACATTGTCTCTTGCCTCTTTCCTCCCATTCACATCTCCCTCCCCCACCCCATACATTATTTAGCATGTTATAGACCATCTGGAACTTGCACCTGAAATACCATAAACTTGACCTTCTGGGCATGCTGCAAAAAGCCATTTGTTTGACAGGGTTTGGAGAAAGGTTGAGGGTATGTTCCTGGGAGGGTTAAACAGGCTATTTTGTTATTTTGATTTATTGGCTGGCTCAGTTAATTCATTATTTGTATGTGACTTTTTTGATGCTGCATGGTCAAACATTTTTACTATAAGTCTAATTATTATAATGTCTAGAATTTTCTAAATTAGCATTTTTATTGTTATTTAAATCTAAATAACTAATCACTACCTTTGGACCTGACTCACTGGCCATTAAAGTTAATGTAAAGGCTCATTGATTGCAATGGATGCTGGATCCGGTCCTTTGTCAGTAAGTCAGCTTCCCACTTCCAAGACACCATTTACACTTCCTGTGTAGCATCGGCACAACTCCCTCCCTGAGGTTTGAATTAATTAACAAACAAAATGAACAACAAAACAATGGAAAGTCTAATCTAAGATATGTTCAGAGACTTGGCTGGCCTGCAGGGCTCTTTCACACAGTCTCAAATCTCTTAGGAGTTGATGGGCCTCAGTGCACCTTTGACAAGGTTAACACCTTCCCAGGTGGAGAGAATGACGGTCAGGTGACCCAATCAGACATGCAATAGATAAGGAAGAAATCTGGAAAGAGGTGTTGGTAGAGGTCTACAGGGAGTAAAAAGTAGGGTTACCATATTTAAAAATAAAAAAGAGGACACTCTACGGGCCCTGGCCCCACCCCTTTCCCCACCCCCAGCCCCACCCCAACTCCGCCCCTACTCCGCCCATTCCCCCAAAGTCCCCGCCCTAACTCCCCCTCCTCCCTCCCAGCCATGCGAAAAGGGCTGCCCAAGCGCTACCGGCTTCACAGTTTGCCGGGCAGCCGCCAGACCCTGCGCCCCCGTCCGGCGCTTCCCCAGAACAGCTGGAGCCCGGGAGGGGAAGAGCCCAGCCGGGGGTGCAGGGTCTGGAGGCTGCCCGGCAAACCCGTGAAGCCAGTAGCGCTCGGGCTTTGGGCAGCCTCTATGCCTCCGGACC